GAGCATAGAAATGATGTGCGGATGTGTGTTTGTGAAAAGGTGAATGCAAATGTACTGTAAAGGGCTTTAAGTGGTTGATAAAACTAGAAAAGCACTATACTGCCCATTTACCATTAAACACATCACTTTATAGCAGTGAGTGTGAGAAAAAGGTAAATGTGTGTATGTGTTACCTGCCATCTCCTCCCCAGGCACTGTTGGGTGTGATGACCACCTCTCTGCAGTTGTCAGTGTCTGTGTTGTACACATAGAGCTTCAGGCCTTTCCCCTCGTGGCTCTCTATCAGGGAGAACAGGTCCTCGGACTGCAGGATGGAGTCAGATAGTGGCAGAGAGGTCAGACAAAATGGAGTAGACAACATGGTTAATACCATGACCAGCGTGTGTGAAGGAGTGACAGAAGGGAGGATGTGAAATGCTCTCACACTACCTCATTCATAACGGTGTCGGCTCCAATGATGTAGTCAGTGTGCGGCCGCAAGCCAGCCAGAGCTGCAGGGGAGTTTGGCTCCACTTCCTGTCAAAGAAAGCAGGGGGGATATAAATACACAAAAAACTGTTTTGTCACATAGAACAGCATAAGGCCCCTTTTCTACTGGTCCAAAAACCCACTTACACTAACTAACATCTGGGTTTTGTCTGCAATGGGAAAGGGTACAATCTGCATTCACTCCCAGGGACAAATGATTATATCAGTGCTACGTACCAGCACATGCCAAACATTCTCATTGGCTCCTTCAAAGCTGCAGAAACGAATAGATACACCAAGCAAGCCCTGCCCTCCCCACAGGTTACTGGGCGTGACGGTGGACTCCCGCAGCTCCAGAGTCTTCGAGGAGTAAACCAGCATCTTCACTGGTTTCTCTACACTGGCTTTCAACAAGTCCTTCAGAGTGTCGTTATCCTTGTTCTGCAGGAAAAAAAGGGAGAAAAAGAAAGAAGAGGCAACCATTTAACACATCGGCCATTATGAGTTCCTTTGCATCCTGTTTGACAGTTGCTGGCTTTCCTCACCAGTCTGGTATTATTGATGGAGACAATGAAGTCAAAGAAAGGCTCCAGCCCTGCACGGTGTCCAGGTGAATTCTCCTGAACCTGCAAGAGAAGAGAGAGACAACCTGAGCTGCTGCTGGATGTGACACCAGCTTTTTGCACTTTATTTCACTTCAACCTGACATGCTCTGTACATACAGCACAAACAGGTTGAACATGCAAGAGAGCCCATGCTGCGTCTGAGCCTGTTTCCCCTGTTGTTATGTGCATCTCTCACATTAACCAGCACCCAGTACAAACGATATGGTCTGCTATGTCTGACCATAAACTAACCTGAGCCCGGACCACAACACGAGCCTGTTTCCGGAAATCTCATATTTCGAGTTTTGCCAGAAAAGGCGAAAGACGCAGTGTACATAAGGGCCCGTCCGATAATGGATGTATCCACAGAACCAGCTTGGCAACTGTCATTCAATGTAGCTACGTAGCCTCAGCTAACATTAGCACTGGTGCTACTACTGCTAAGGTAAGCACATTTATTCAGCTACCCAGCGGTCATGAGAATATCACGCGTCCAGAAACCGTGTGTGACACTGACTCCACTCCGAGAGCTCGCGGTGTTTTCTGCTGACATGTTGGTGGTGTGCAGGCCGAGGCCCCGGCAGACATCCCCGGCCTCTCGTCAACACACGGAGCCGAGAAAGCTACGGATCATCCCTGGACGCTAAGCTAACGGCTAACAGCGGGGTGTCGGGGCTGAACACTCACCCGGAGGACGTGGTACCCCTCGGAGCCTCCCCCCGGTATCTCCACGCTCTGAGACCCTCCCATGCTGTCGCTCTCTTAAGGCTCCGGAGGTGTTCTGATGGCCGCTAGCACCCAGAAGAGGAGACACGGCGGAACCACACAAACACCGGGGTACACGTAGCCAAGTGACGAGCTCGGTGGTGCGCATGCGCCGTTACGTGGCAGGAAGTAGGGCCTCTGCGAGACGTGCAGCTTTCAGGCGGTTTCTGTCTTTAAAGAGGTGCAATCATTTATATTCTACACTTTGTTCCACATCCTCACACTCCTAATGTATATAATGCCGTGTTTTATATCGACCTCTATCTTATCTACATTGTAATCTGTGGACATTTTACTGGATTGTCTTTGGACATCAAGGTGCACAGTCAATATGAGACAGACATGACACTATTGAACTATGTGAGGTGTTTTCTTCACATGTTTTGCTGTTTGTTTTTATGTGTGAGAAATGTGCAAGACCCACATTTTCAATCTCTTTCTCACTTTATGTTTTCTCTGTCATTGCTTTTTGCTGAGCTGACCTGTCACGCACGTATGACAAACACAAACTTTTTACTCCGAGACATCTTTAATGTTAACTCATCACCAAACGTTGACAGTAACATCTTTCAGTAGCCTATTCAATTTTTTTGTTTTTTCATTATTAAATATTATAAATATATTTATTAATGTAAAAACCTTTTGAGAATTGCTGTTTCCTCCCTTCTCACTCACAAAATTAAAAAAAATCAGCAAATAAATTGTAACTAATATTCAGCTATAATAAAACTTACATTTTATTTATATTTGATGTTTTTGCCTTTATTAAAATAATAAATCCCCCCCTTTTACCACTGACTGCTCTGATTGAACCTTCTGACAAAGCTCTTTATGAAGCACAAGCAAAACTTAATCAAAACTATGAAAAAGACACATCTTGACCTTATTGACGATGGCAAAGCTTTTTCTTCTATCTTAGATCCAACACAAGTTGCAAAAGCAAATACACAAATGTTCACATTTACATCAACTCTTTTCTAACATTTACATCAACTCTTTTCTAACTTCTCTCCAAACACCGTTGTGTTTAGCTTTTCCTCCCTAATGTGTTTCACCTGCTCCATCATGTGCATGGTGTGTCTTCAGGCCCTGTGTTGTCTCTCACTGGTTCTGTCCGGTTTCCTTGTGTTATATTTTACTTAGGATTTTGCACCTTCCACCTGAAACATCTGTAAGTCACTTTATTTATATAAAAGTATCTTTGCTGCACAAAAAGCCTTCAAACAGTATAAACTTTTCATATGATATTTGAGGCAGAGGGTAAAGCTTTTTAAAAACCCAGCTGCAGTGTGTCATTACTGGAGTATATTTGACAATTTGTGATGTTATTGATATGTTTTTGCATATGTTCACTCATGTCACTTTGTTACATGTTTTGGTACAGTAGATATCCATATAGCTTATCCTTATAAGCTACAGCACATTTAATGAATCACAAGCACTGAAGTAATGCTCTTATTTTTATTATCTCCTTCTGGTACATCTGGGATAAAAACAATGGAATGCCTGATGGATAATAAACAATTACAGACCATAATGTCCTGAAAAACACAGACAGAACTCTTATAATCTGACATTAATTGACTGTGTCATACACAATATTTTAACATTTACAAAGCTATACAGCATACAGCTTTGCATGGTTGTACAGACAGAGAATCACCATCAGAGGGCACTAGCACTACATTATATCTGTTGTCCACAAAGTAGAAGTTGAGCGTCTCTCCACAACCTCTCCTCCCTCTCATATTTTTATTCCCTCCATGTAAAGGTTATGAAACACTGCAAGCAAAGGCTCTGTTCCACTGTGAAATGGTGGCTTCAGCTTCAGCACGTACATTTGTAGGTGAATAAATGCAAAAGAGAAGAGATGAAAGGAGAATAAGGAATATGTGGAAGGCAAAGAGTGGATGAGCGAGGGGATAAAAGAGATGCGAGAGGAGGAATGTGAGAGGAAAGCTAAAAGTACACAAGAGAATGGTGCAGATAGAAGAGGAGGGTTTCACACTGGAGGAGCCAATCCGACACACAGCTGGAGGCCAAACAAAGCCTTCTCCAGGAAGATTAGGCAGAGAGGCAATCATCTGTGTGTATGTGTGTAGCCGTCTAACAGGCATTTCAGAGACAAAGGAGGATGTTTTAGCTCAAAACCCCAAATATCTTCATATAAATTACAGTTTGAAAAACCACTGAGCAAAATAAATATCTGAAAGACGAATAGTTTTTTGTGTTTCAATAATTAACACTCAGTTTTTCCTTTAATAGACTTTATTAAAGATCTTTTTCGAGATGGCATGATTGTGTTAAAGTGCCTACGGAAAAGCTCCTGGGAAACATTCCCTTACAGCTGGGATTGGTTATGTACAGGAGTCACTGGCCACATACAGTACACAGGTTACCTTAAATATGATTAATGCAATTGTTCCATTTTCATATGGTCCCTAGATACCATAAACACTTTATGGACATAACTCTTATATAATACTGCCATAGTACACATCCATTTACAATGGAAGAAAGAAAGGTGAACATTGTGCAAAGACATAAACAGGAACTCTTTTTTTACATAAAATATCCCACTGAGCTCCTATAACACTGAGTATACAGGTAATATGTATTACAATAAATATACTATATTACAGTAAATGCATTAGGATTCAGACAAATACAATAATCCTTTCTTCCCAGTCTCGAGAGGAGAGTACATTCTCACATCCTTGTGCTTCTCTCTAAAAACAAAGGACCAGCACGACTGCCAGAGGAATATATATAGACGTCATTCTTAATCTCATCAGAAGGCCAGTCATCTCAAAACATTCAGTCAAAAAGACCAGCAATCACAGAAAGAAACACACCATATAAATTGCATCGCAGTCGAGGGTCAAGATAACATTTTACAAACACCTATACACGCGCACACACACACACACACACACACACACACACACACACACACACACACACACACACACACACACACACACACACACACACACTTAGAATGTGCTGT